AGGGGTGGTGAGGGTAGGGAAGAGGGCGTGAGGGAGGGAGAGGGGGTGGGAGGTGGGGGGGAAGGAAAGGGCGGTTGGGGAACTGACGAGTGAGCAGGTCGGGGTCGCCAGGCCCGGTGCCCACCAGAAACACATTCCCAGGGCCCTCGCCGCGGGGTCCCCCCTCCGCTTGCTCCCGAACCTGCTGCTGCGCCTTGGCCCGCAGCAGCTCCAGCATTTCGCGCAGCTCGGGCAGGCGATCCGCGATGTCCACCTCGGGAATGTCGTCCGCGTCGTCCTCGCCGCCCTCTGAAGCCAAGCTGAGTCGCTCGCTCCAACTCGACTTCCCTTCCGCAGTCCGCTCGGAATCTACAGCGAAGCAGGGCTCAGGGTTTATGCCTGATACGTCTGACGTCATCGCTGCGTCAGCGTCAGCGAGCAGCTGCAGCGCGCCGTCCACTCCGGGAAGCACTCGAGATCGGCACTCGTCGGGCGACGACTCCTCCTCGCGGCGTGGCGCTCCTCCGCTGCCGCTCTCGGCGATCCGCCAGTCCCACGGCCGCGCGTCCCTCACCTCCACAAACGGCGACTCGGCGGCGGATTGCGCGCTGCCGATCAGCCATCGGTCGGGACGGGACGGGCTGGATGCGGCGGAGAGGTTGGGGTGGGCATGGGGCTGGCTGCAAGGACTGTGCACAGCTCGAGCTGCCGCCGCTGATGCATTTGCGGATATTCCGCAGAAAGGTTTATTGCCGCGCGGTGCAAAACGAGCTTCCCGGCGCGAGACGCTGTGACTGGCGAGAAAGGCATTGTAGCGCAATGCTCTAGTAGCGATCGCTGCGGGATCGCTGCTAACGACAACGGCCATGGCTTCTGCGGGAACTAACGCTTACTGAAAAGGTCCTCCCGATCCAACAACCGCTGTCGACTAGGATCGTAAGTGGTCAGAGCGTGCATTGCCCACATGTGAAAAACAGATAGCTTTTGTATCGCTGACTGATTTCTGGAGGCGAATGCGTGGCAAGCAAGCAAACAAGGCGAGCCTAGCCCCCTTCGCCTGCTGGTTGCCTCATCCCTCGTTCACCCGTCCTGGACACCACCGTGCGTCCCCCGCCAACGGACCCAGCCACACGCCCCCTGCTGTTCGCTCATCTTCCTCTCAATGGCAGCACCGTCGCTTCTGATCACGGTTGGGATAGCTGTTGCCTGCGTGTAGCGGTAAAGCTGACGCTTTGTGGCTGGCACGGGCAGAAAAAATCGCCTGGCTCCACCAAAAAGCATGTAGCCCTCCCGCAACTGGAAACAGCAGCCTTTCAGATGTCAACCGGTTGAGATCTGAATTTAGCGCCTGTAAATAAGCGCCACGTGGGGGTGTTCCACGAACTCGGCTCAATTTGATGGGAGCGGAAACTCTTGTTTTACCGTATCTGTAATTGTACATTCCTTAATGCTACCAAAGGTAAGGAGCCATAAACATTGTGGAGTCGTCGTGTATCGGGTGATACACGTGTCCCTCAAATTCCAGCTGTCAACAATCTAAGCGCCCTGAAGATTGAGCAACAATCCCTGTGATCATCTCGAGAGTCTCTGTCTTGTACAGTATCTTGCTCGCTCGCGGCATTCTCGAGAATTCGCCCTTCTCTGGGCTCGTCTGCTGGCCTCGAACTGGGTCGCTGCATTCTTGGTGCTTCTTCCTGCAACCATCTCCGCTCAACCAGCTCATTCACCAATTTTCCCAGGCACGTTTCCTTGCGTGCTTTGTCAGCCACGACCCGATTCCGCTAACATTACTCGTGGAAGGCCGTTATTTGTTGTAAATACATTGTCCTTAGCCAACAAGTCGAGGCGTCAGCGATGGCGGCACTTCTGCAGAGCCTTGAGGTGCCTGTCGCATCCTTGAGGGCACCCCAACCACTCCAGAAGAATCAACGGCTCTCGTCACTCGCTAGCATCTCCCTCCAGTCTTCCAGATCACTCACATCCTCACTGACCGTCAAATTCCATGTGTCCACAAAGAATCCTAGAAATTCCGGCCGAGTAGCGTGCCGGGCAGCAGCGGGCGAGAGCGGCGCGAAGAAGGCGAGTTTGAGCGAGCGGCGACCGGAGGAGGTGAATGTGGTGGTGGTGGGCCCCACGGGGTACATCGGCCAGTTCGTCACGCGCGAACTCATCAAGCGCGGCTACAACGTCACCGCAGGTGCGCGCGCGACCTCAGGTTAACCCATGATACAGCAGCTAAACGTCGAATTTTGAAGTGCATCAAATTTTGCGCCCGCGCTTAGGATTTCACATAATATTCCAGAGAATGTAGTTTAGTTTTCAACTCTCCCTCGTAGTCCGCCCATGACACGCGTTCTGTGCGGCATGCGGTGGTGGTCGCAGTGGCGCGCGAGCGGAGCGGCATTGGCGGGAAGAAGTCGGCGGAGGATACGGCGAAGGAGCTGGAGGGCGCGACGATGCTGTTCGCGGACGTGACGAGCGAGGAGGCGCTCTCGAAAGCGCTGGCCGGCAAGGACGTCGACGTCGTCGTGTCGTGCCTCGCCAGCCGCACCGGCGGCATCAAGGTGAGCCACAGCAGCCGCGAGGAGGTCCGCGAGAAGGACGGAAGCGAGGGGGAGATGAAGGGGACCCGGTGTGCGCACGCCTGCCAACTTGTGCGCAAAACATACAAGATGAAACGCAACTGTTTTTATCCTCAAAATCGAATGGTTTGGGTGGTGCGTGTGTGCGGCACGTGTTTGACGAGTGCAGGACTCGTGGCTGATCGACTACACGGCGACGAAGAACAGCCTCGAGGCCGGCAAGAAGGCGGGCGCCTCCCACTTCGTGCTGCTCTCAGGTGCGCCTGACTGCCGTGCGCGCTGCTGCTTCCTGCTGCTGCTGATCTTGCAACCACGTACTCACATTCCCTCCCTGTGCTTGCGCCCTGTCTGCGCCCGTGTGTGTGCGCAGCCATCTGCGTGCAGCGGCCGCTGCTGGAGTTTCAGCGCGCGAAGCTCAAGTTTGAGGACGACCTGCAGGCCGACCCCGCCGTCACGCACAGCATCGTCCGCCCCACCGCCTTTTTCAAGTCGCTCGGCGGCCAGGTGCGATGCGGTGGGATGCGGTGAGATGTAAGTCAGGTCAGGTGTAGCGTGTACCTTGTGAGATGATCGCATTCCCAAAAGACTCAAAAGGTCGTTGTCGTTGGAGTGAGGCATGGCATGCAGGAGTGAGGCATGCAGGGCACGAGCTGATTAAGGGGGGATAACAAGTTGCTGATTGTGCAGTCAAAATGATGCTCGGGCCCCATGCTACGTATGGGCATGAATCTATGTGTGTGTGTGCGTGTGTGGTGGCAGGTGGAGAGTGTGAAGGGGGGCGGGCCGTACGTGATGTTTGGCGACGGGCAGCTGTGTGCGTGCAAGCCCATCAGTGAGGCTGACCTCGCTGCCTTCATTGCCGACTGCGTGCAAGGTGAGACACGCACACACGTGTTCTGTCGTGCCACTCACAACCTGCAAGAGATGAACGCACACACACGGAACAAAAGTCAACTCAAAAGATGCACCAGCCGTACCCAAGACAAGGAACACTTGGCATTATTGTCACCATGCTGCCTTCATTGCCGACTGTGTGCAAGGTGAGTGAGGCACGGCGCTGTCCCCCGTGCTGTCGTGCCACTCACAACATGATACGTCATAGAGATGAACGCACACACAAGGTCAAATTCATGTAGAACATTCATCAAATATCCCCAACAGAAGGGAAACATGGGCATAACCATCCCCGTGCCTCGCCACCCTCTCCACCACATGCCCGTCCCCGTGTTCCGTCCGCCCTGCCAGGCGAGGACAAGGTGAACAAGGTGCTGCCCATCGGCGGGCCAGGGGAGGCGCTGACCCCCCTGCAGCAGGGGGAGATGCTATTTCAAGTGGTGGGCAAGGAGCCCAAGTTCATCAAGGTGCCCATCGCCGTCATGGACTTTGTCATCGGTATCCTTGACGTGCTCGCCAAGCCCTTCCCCTCGCTGGCGGACGCGGCCGAGTTTGGCAAGATTGGGCGGTACTACGCGGCGGAGAGCATGCTCGTGTGGGACGAGCAACAGCAGCGGTACGATGCGGACGCCACGCCCAGCTATGGCAGCGACACGCTGAGAGAGTTCTTTGAGAAGGTGGTGCGCGATGGCATGCAGGGGCAGGAGCTGGGCGACCAGGCCGTGTTCAAATGATGGGGCGACCAGGCTGCACTGCGTAGTGTGGGTGAATGATTTTATGTATCGTTTAATAATAACTGGGAATCCATTACCATGACTGAGCTCAAAGGTGACTGTAAGGGATGAGGTGTGGGATGCAGGTGGTTGGTAGCAAAGCGTGTGGAGGCCTGGAGTGCTGGCTGGGAGCACAGGAAGCTGGTCAGCAGTTTACACCTTGCAGCACACATGCCCGTAGGAGCAGGGCGTGCTTTAACATGTGATGAGAGCTGAGCCGAAAGCCAGCTGCTCCGCCATACACTCTTTCACACCTTGTACACGTGTGGGAATGAGGAGGCGACCAGGCTGCACCTAGGGATGAGGTGCGGAGTGCAGGTGGTTGGTACCACATCAAGGGACGTGGAGGAGAGGAAGGCTGGGAGCACAGGAAGGTGGTCAGCAGTTCACACCCTGCAGCACACGGAGGGTAGGTGCCCATAGGAGCAGCGCGTGCTTCAGCTTGTGATGTGAGCTGAGCAAAAAACCAGCTGCTCCCCCATGCACTGGTTCTTGCACCTTTTACATGTACGACAGAGCAACTTTGTTTAGAAGTCAGTAACAGTACAAGAATGAAATGTACAACTAGCGGCCTAAACATAGTTCCTATCCTAAGCCTTCCTAAGCAGACAAGGCACCTAGAGCCTTGTTGGCGCCACCACTGGTCCCAGCAGCACGCATGCTTCAGAGCTACCTCTACGTCCCTGAAAGTTATAAGCTATGTCAACATTCCACAGTGGGTCATGTTCCCCCGTACGTGGCATGTGGGCCAATGCTGACTGCTCCCCCCACGTCACATGATGGTTGACATGACGGCCGCGTGGGGCAGCACCTTCCCCACAAAGACGTACGCCCCTCCACCCAGCAGCAGGGCGCCACTGGCAGGGTTGATCCACCCTGAGTACCGACGGACGGCTGAGATCTGTTTGAGCGCGCCCGTGCACGAGGCGGCCAGCAGCAGCGGCGTGGCGAAGCCCATCGTGTAGCTCAGCAGCAGTGCGCCACCCGTTGCTGCGTCCTGCAGGGCGGGGAGGCGGAGTGGACAGAAGAGAAGGGGGGAGGGACTTGTAAGTAGGGCAAGGGGGCGCGCAAGGAAGCAAGCAGCGGATGGAGGGTGCTCGTGGGTGTGCCTTACCAAGGGCTTGCCTTCTTCCTCTGTTTGTTTGCTGTAAGCATACACGTCCCACCAACCCACAAGGCAGGGTGAGCAGGTTATACTCATACTTCCCCTCCCTCCTTCCCCCTCCCACCGACTCACCCTGGTGGACGCGACGAACGCGAGCAGCGAGGCGAGCACGGGCGTGCAGCAGGGCGCCGCCACGAACGCGAAGGCCGCTCCGCCCGCCGCCATCTGCAGCGCCACGGGCACCCTCCCGCCCACCGCCGCGGGGCTGAACCGCGCCGCCACAGGCGCGGGCAGGCGAACGGGCAGCAGGCCGAGCAGGTGCAGCCCCGCCAGCATGGCCACCAGCGACACGGCGGCCGGCAGCGCGCTGCCCACGTCGCCCACGACGTGTTGGCCAGCGAGAGCGGCGGCGACGCCCATGGCGGTGCGCGTGGCGGCGAGGCCGAGCGTGAAGAAAAAACAGTTGACCGGCACGCTGGCGGCGCGCGCGGACGGCGCGTCGGGGAGTGGTGGGGGGGAGTCGTCGGCGGAGCAGCAACAAGGCGGGGGAGAGGAGGGGGAGGCGGATGCGGATTGGGGCGGCGAGGGGGCGGGCGGGGGGGAGTCGAATCCGGCGATGAAGCCGACGGTGAGCGGCAGCAGGCTGAGCGTGCACGGCGCGAAGCTCGTGAGCAGCCCTGCGACGTAGATGATCGCGAGAGTCGCGGGCGACAAGGCAGCAAGGTCGTGCGACTCCGCCAGGTGGCTTGCGAGGTAGAGAAACTCGTCCACGCTGTCTTGGAGAGCGAACGCAACGTCTTGCCACGTGTCCATTGCTGATTCGAAGTCGATATTGGGAAAAATGTTGAAAATGGTTGATAAGTCGGGCAGCGAGGCGAGGAAGAATTGACTCGATGATGACGTGGCAATCATGTGATCCGCGGCGAGCGAGTCAACCGCGTGTTGCGACTCGGAAATGAGGGCGACAGCAGCTGCGGGTGACGTCATAATGAGAGGAAGTAGGGCGGCGGGCAGAAGCGGCACGGGAATTGATCGGCGCGGCGTGTCTGCAGCCGTCGTGCGACTCGCGGCGCCTTGAGAGCTCGAGCTGCGTCCAGACTCCGGTCTCCGCGATTCATGTTCACACGGCACACGCTGTTGCGGAAGTGATGCTAGTGCGACGCTCAGGTGGCGACGACTCGTTGCCTGAGCGCGCCGAGGCTGGATTCCGGCATGCCCGCAAGTGTTTGGGAGACATGGTTGCGCAATGCGCGCTGGTTTGAGTGCGGAAAGAACGGCCATGGACGTTAAATGTGCTTTGTCTTGGTACAAGAAAACGAGGCCTGAAGTGCAGGGATAAAGGCAATTGCCAAGGTGTATGTGCACGCATTGAGCTGGCATGACTTACGACCTGGTTCTTATAAATACGTAAGTGGGGGGGGGGGGGGGAATAGGCTGCGTCTCGAGCGCTGGTTGGAAAATGAAGGGCATCATTTTCCAGCTCCCTGGTACGAACGAAACGTACGCGGGAGGTGGTCAGTCAATTCGACGAGTGTAGATCAACGTGTGTCGCCAGCATCGCAGGTGGGCGGGGGTCGTCGCCAGAATGTGTAATCCGCCAGGTGTCGCCAACGACCCCTCGCTCAGCCCCCCCCCTGACGACCATACAGGGCGTAGTACGACGCGAAGCGAAGGCGTACGAGACCAGCTTCGTCGCCCAGTCGTACGAGTTTGCTGTGGCGCAACTGGCATGGATTTTTCCCTGCAATAGCAGAAGCGTACGTTCCTCGGGGCTCGTGGTGCTGGCGACGCGTGTCTTGTCGAGGTGTACGAGGCGCAAGTCAGATCCGTGTCGGGACGTCCACTTGGGATTCACGTTTCACGACTCACGGGCTGTACAGTACGATCCGACATGCGATGACGTGTCTATCCCACCATGCGACGAGCACTCTCACTCACCCATTCACTCGTAAGTGTCATGCTTTAATAGAGTTCGCCACTGTTACAAAACCAATGGATAGTTGGCTAGAACACCAAAGCCACCTTTTATGCACACACAAACACACATCACAACCACAATCCCAACAAAACAATGTCAGTCAATTTTAGCAAGAGATAAAGGAACCTTGAGCTCTTTATCAAAGTCAACGGTTCTGACCCAATAAGCTTGGCTGCGTGCCAGCTTGCGTGGCCATAGGAGGCCCGGACAAAAATGGGTCCATTTGGGAGGCAACCGGAGAATAAAAATAGGTCCGTGCCGCATGCACGGACAAACCTGAGGGGTTGGAGGGGACGCCTGCCATTGCAGTGCCCCACGGGGGTGCATGCCATGCCATCCACGGGTGCATGTGGGGTGGCGGGGTGACGGAAGGCGCCGGGTGCCGGAGAAACGGTGGGGCAGCAGCGGTGGGTGCGTGGTGCTGCAGATATGGGCTGGTGGAGCGCTGCTGCTGTGGCCCTGCTGAGAGCGGCGCAGCAGAGTGGTGCAGAGGAGTGGAAGCGAGATGCATTGGTGCAGTGGCAGGGGCAGATGGGTGGGCGCGTGGGACTGCATGCATGGGCATGGGCATGGGCACCGGCAGAACACCTGGTGCTGCCCCGTGGGGGGTGCTGTGCACTGAAGCAGCGGTGGCAACGGCGGCAGCAGAGGCGGTGGAGGAGGCAGAGGAAGTGGAAGTGGCAGCAGCAGCTGCATGGGCGGAGGGCGGGCAGGCGGTGGGGGCGAGGCTGGAGGCAGAGGGCAGGGCATGCAGGGGGCTCACATGCGGCACGGGGGAGATGGCAGCAGGCAGGGGGTAGTGGTGTGAAGCGCCATGCCCAGGGGGCGCTGCAGGTGCAGCAGGAAGCGGCAGTGCAGCAGAGGCGGGGGGGCGGGAGGGGCCGAAGAGGAGGGGCGAGCGGAAGAGCAGGTTGGCGATGGCACGGTCGATGTGGTTCGTCCCACTCTCCTCCCCACGCGCCACACCTGCCCCCTCTGATGCCGATGCTGTCGCCATACCAGCACCACCAGTCCCTGCTTCCGAGTGACTCCGCCCCTCGTCACTACTCATCCCCGACGATCCTGTCCCCGCCCCCACCCCTGTACCCATCCCTCCCCCTGTCGCTGTCGCTGTCGCTGTCACTGTCGCTGTCACTGTCTCTGTCTCTGTGTCAGTCATTGCTGCTGCCTGCTCGCCCTGCCCTGCATCGCCCCCAGCGGACGGCCTCAAGCCCCCTGTGGCGCTGCTGCTGTGGGTGCCAGCGGCGCCTGCCCCCACTGTGCTGCGCCCCTTGGCGCTCTGTGCCAGCCGCAGCAGCGCCTCGTGGATGAACCTCCGGCTGCTCGCTGCCAGCTGCGCGCACAAGGACGAGGGGGAACAGGAAAGGGGGAGGGGCGAGGGGGGGAAGGAGATGGTGGATGGTTGAGGTCTTGAAAACGAGTAGGGCGAGGATGAGAGTGCAGGACATATAGTCGAGTACAGGGGAGGATGAGAGTGCAGGACATATAGTCGAGTACAGGGGAGGTTCGGGTGTAGGGGGGTGAGAGAGAGGGGGTGAGAAGCAGCGGGATGCGAAAGCATACATGCAGCAGAGAGTAGGGCGTGTGAAGTGGCAGGAAGCAGGAGGGGCTGACCTTGGCGACGGTGCTCTCCAGCTCGTGCAGAATGGCCGCCTCCATGCCCTCGCCCGCCCCCTCGCCCCCCTGCGCCCCATGCACCGCGCCACTCGCACCACCCTCCCCTGCAGCAGCACACGCGCCTTCACCCCCCACCGCACGCCCCTCCTCATGCCCCTGGATGGCGTGGGCCGTGCCCGCCTCGCCACAGTGTGCCGCCTCACTGCCCTCACTCATGCCACTCGCCTCGCTCTCCTCCCCTGCGTCTGCTGCTGCTCCCCTCTCCTCACTGCTGCCTTGCAACGTCCCACCAGCACCACCAGCAGCAGTAGCAGCAGCAGCAGCAGCAGCAGCCGCCTCATGTGCCTCTGCCAGCCCACATGACATGCCCTCGCCCTCCCCCTCCCCTACCCCACTCCGCTCCTGAGCCTCCAGAATCTCCTCCTTCGGTCTTGCCAGCGATCGCCGCTCTGCTGCGTCAGCACTGCCTACAGCCTCGTCAGCACCATCAACAGCCATGTCAGCACCGCCCACAGCCTCGTCAGCACCGCCCACAGACCCACCAGGAGCAGGCAAATCTGGGCTCTCGAATGCCCCCCTCACAGATCCGCCTGGCGAAGCAGCCGCACACACTTCTGCTGCCGTTGCCGCGGTGCAGCGCGCCTCATCCTCACCCGCTGCTCCATCCCTCCCATCTCGCCTTGCTGCTTCTGCTGCTTCTGCTGCTGCTGCACCTGCTGCTGTTGAGTTTGCTGCTGCCGCTGTGCCTTCAGCCACTCGCGGGGAAGATACGACCCTCTGCCCGCCCCCCTGCTGCTCCACGCCCTCTGTTCCACCACCTGCCCCTCTGCTTATCCGCCCCTCCCCGTTGCCCATATGTCCCTCTTGCCCTCCCTGCCACTCGTCCGCCCTTCCCTGCCTCTTCTGCACGCCAGACAGCTGCCCCTTCTCTTGCTGCTCCTGCTGCTCTTTCTGCCCCTGTTGCTCTTGCCTCTGCTGCTCTTGTTGTTGCTGCTGCTCTTGTTGCTGCTGCTGCTGTTGCTGCTGCTGCTGCTTTTCCTGCACACGTTGCTGTTCCTGGTGCTGTGGCTGGTGCAGTTTTTGCTGCTGCTGTTGCTGCTCCTCCTGCTGCTGCTGCCCCCCCTGCACCTGCTGCCCCTGCTGTCCCTGTTGCTGTTGCTGCCCCTGCCCCTGCTGCCCCTGCTGTCCCTGCTGCTGTCCCTGCTGTCCCTGCTGCTGCCCCTGCTGTCCCTGCTGCTGTCCCTGCTGTCCCTGCTGTCCCTGCTGTCCCTGCTGCTGTTGCTGCTGCAGTTGCAGCAGGTAGCGCTGCTGCTGTCTGGCCCACAGCTGCCGCACGTCCCACTTCATCCGCTCTCCCCCGCTCCCCATCCGCTCTCCCCCGCTCCCCATCCGCTCTCCCCCGCTCCCCATCCGCTCTCCACCCATTCTGCCAGCCTGCCCTGCCCCGACCTTCCCCTCGCTTTCCCCCTTGCCCCCGCCCGCTGCGCTGTCAGTGTGCGCCACTGGGCTGGGCGGGGGTAGGTGCGGAAGCACCCACACTCCCGGCATGGGAGGCTTGAGAGGGGAGGGGGACGATGGGGGGGGAAGGGAGGACGACGAGGGGGATAGCGAGGGGGGAGCGGAGGAGCCAGTGGGAAGGGCGGAGGGGGAGCGGGGGGTACAAGGGCGTGGCGCGGAGGCAGCGGGAAGGGGCGCGTGCGGCACGGCTTTGTCCCTCCCCGCTTGCCCCGCAGTGGGCGGAGGGACGGTGGGGCCATGGGCTGCTGCGCGGGGGCGAGGGGTGGGAGCGGGGGAGAGGGAGAGCGAGGGGGAGGCAGCATGCGGCCTGGAGGAAGAGGAGGACGCGAGCAGCGCGGAGCACTGCGAGTCACTGCACGCTCCCGCCGCCTGCTGCTGCCACGCGCCACTCGCTGCTGCGCTCGTCCCTGCCCGCTCCCCCCTACCCGTCCCGACAGACCCACACGCCGCCTTTGGCTCCGCCCCCACGCTCCCCGCGCTCTGCTCTGCCTGTGTCTGAGCGCCGTGCTGCTGCTGCTGCTGGAGCAACGGCGTGCGCTGCTGGTGGAGGGCGAACATGGCGTGCCCCAGCGCCTGCTGCTGCTTCTGCTGCTCCGCCGCTGCCCTCGCCTGCATTACAGACCCCACGGTCGTGCTTCCCGTCCCTGCCATCCCTGTAGCCCCCGCCGTCCCTACCGCCCCTGCCGCCCCCGCTGTGCGTGCACGAGCCTCGGGCACGGCGCCTGTACCAGCGTGGGGTGAGGCCGCAGCTGCGGCGGCGCTAAGAGCACCGGCGGGTGGCGACGGCGTGGCGCGCACTGGGGGGCGCTGAGGCGGCGCGCAGGGGTGCGCGGGAGGCAGGAGGCGGGAAGGGAAGGCGGGCAGCAGCGGCTGCGAGGTAAGCGGGTAGTTGGGGAAGTGGGGGAGGCGGGGCAGATGCGCGGGGGGGAAGTAGCGGAAGAGATGCGTGGGCGCAGGGCAGGGAGGGATGGGGAGGGCGTGGGAGGGCGGGCGAGAGTAGAGGTAAGGCGCGGGCGAGGGAGTGGGAGCGGCGGAGGCAGCGCGAGCACTGGCGGGCTGGCTTGAGGCGAGGGGCAGGAGCGGCGCAGCGGACATGTGCGGGGCGAGGGGGGCGTGCGGGGCGAAGAAGGGCGGGCAGTAGTTGGGGAAGTGGTGCGGCAGCGAGGGGAAGGGCACGGCGTGCTGGCCGAGGGGCAGCTTCCTGGACGCCGTGGTGCGCTGCTCGCCCTCCCTCCTCCTGCGCGTTGCGGCTCTCCGCCTCGCCTGTGGTGGGCACATGGCACGGAGAACGGTTGAGTGAGGAGCAAGTGAGCGAGATTGGGTGACTGAGAGATAGAGTAAGTGAGAGAGAGAGAGTGAGGGAGGGGCGGCGACGTACCTGCGAGAGGCAGCGCGAGGAGCCACCAGGGCTTGAGCCGCCGGGCGCGCCAGTCTCTGCTGCCGCCCCGCTGCTCACGCTCGCAGCACGCGCGGCGCTGGAGCCACCCTCCCTCGACGGCGCGCCGTCCGCCGCTGCCGTGCGCGGGGCGCAGCTGTGGGCCTGGCAGCACAGCACGGAACACGGTGGGATACAGAACAGCAAGGGGTGGCAGTCAGTACTCGTACCCTCGGGGAGCGCCCCCCCTCAGCAGCCGGCATCCTGCTGTGCTGTGCGCTGTGCTAGCATGCGAGGCAGCAAGGTACCGTGACGGCGCGCGCGACACTCGCAGAATGGAAGCACCAACTGCACGCACCTGTGTGACACACGCGTGTGTCGCAGCAGCAGCCGCACCATTGCTCGAATACCCTGCTCTCGTTGCCCCCTCGCTGTCCGCGTCGGATACAACAGCGCCTTCCGCCTTCGCCCCTCCATCCCCCTCCGCCCTCTCCCCCCATCTTGCGTGGTCGCCCCCCTCCTCGTGCTCCGCCTCCAGCTCCTCCACCGCCCACACCTGCGCCGTCCGCCGCTCCTCCTCGCGGCAACGCTCGTCGGTGGCGCCGGCGGAGGGGAAGGCGCAGGCGGCATCGAGCAGCGCGGGCGCGGGCGGCAGCGGCACGGAGGGATCGGAGGCGGGGCCCCACCACGAGTGCAGGTTGGCGCGCGTGAGATGGGGGAGCGCGTCCGCGGAGGAGGGGGAGGGAGGGTCCGCGGAGGGGAGGGGAAGAAGGTCCGCGGAGGGAAAAGAAAGCGCGTCCGTGCCGTAGGCCGACCTGCGGGCAGCGCGAGGCAGACGGGAGGGTAAGGTCAGGTGGGACATGCGGACAAGAGAACGGATATTCCGGCAAGCAACTCTGACATCAGGAGCACAACGCATCAGTGCCACGTCAGTGCTGACCCACCTCATCAGCTCATCCACGTGGCTCGCGTGCTCGTGACCCCATGGCTCACTTGCCATGCCGTCCGCCATCGCGTCCGCGCAAGCCCCGCCTTGCCTGTCCGGGGAGCTTGGTAGCTCGGCGCGCGGGAAGGCGCAAGCGGCGCTATGGTCCGCGCGCGCATGAGGACTGTGTTTGCCCATGCCAACGCTATCCCCAGCGCCATTCACCCTCCCATCCCCCTGCTGCTCCCCCCATCCGTTCAAGCCACGCGCGTCCCCTTGTCCCTCGCAGCCTGCCAACTCGCGCGCCTCTCGCGGGCCGTCAACCAAGCGGCCGGACGACAGGTCCTTGCGGCCGCCGTCAGTTTCTCCAACCTCGACCTGTCGCAGTCTCGCAGCGTGCGACGCGTCGCAGCTGGCGTCAACGACACCCGCGGCGTCCCTGTGAGCGTGCGGCGCGGCGAGTTCGTCGTAGTCCTCGAATTGCTCCCACACCTGGTCGTCGAACTGCGCGCCATGCACGCCAGGGGACAACACGCACATACGCCGGTCAGCCATCGCTATCAGCCGAGCTCGAAACTTAAAGAATTGCAAGAAATATAAACCAGATGTAGTAGGTTCGAAAGGAGCATTTGAAAATGGAAGTTGGTTCATTTCTTTCACAAAAAGAGGTCGGAAAACAAATACTATGTTCCAGACCATCTCGTGCTGAAAGCCTGCAAATTTTAGAAGGTGGTAAGTCGAGCAAGAACGAAGAGGAGGAGATCTGGGGAGCAGAGCGATGTGAGGGGAGTTCACCATGGGCCAACTGTTGACCGCGCAGTCGCCATCCTCCATTTCCCATGCTGATGCCGACATCGCGGTCGAGCCGTCTCGGAATATTCACTACGTGTGATACGCAAAACTACGCTTAGAGCTTACGACCTGGATAAGACTAGGACTCAAATCGCATGGCTAAAAGAGTCTTGGACCAGAAACGCCAACTATTGCACCATGAATCTGTGGGAAAGGTTACTGTAGTAGCTAAGTCGATCGGACTGGAGGCAAGAGGTGAGCAGGTTGCACCATCCAACACTTGGCTTCCCTCGCTCCATTCCCATCCCAAGATTGGCTTCTGGAAGCTGACGATATGGAAGACAGGCTTCATGGGCTGCCCGACACAAGCCAGACTCAGAGCCGATAACAAATGCTGCAGGAAAGAGCACGAAATTGTTCCTATTCTGTGTGAAATGAACCCCCTCCCGGGTCACACAAATAAACCGTGTAACTCTCTGAATCGCCATTCTGACGACATCGTCAGATTTTTGCGACGTGCTGTCGTCGGCAGTTCTTTACCGAGAAAAAATCTTCCGACAGGCGGTCCTCAGCCGCAGGATGGATTCCCTCCAAAGCGAAGCTGCTCTGCTTTGTCGCTCGCTCGGTGCAATCAGACTCGCCCGGATCCACCGCGTGCGACCAGAGCCACTCATAATTCCCAAAGGTGCTTTACGGAAAAAAAATCTCGAGAGCGGTCTTGATTTTTGGCCGTGGCTTGGTGTTTCCGGGCAGATGGGCATGTGTCCATGTCCGCAGCTGCCCATACAAGAGGCGGGTGCTGTTGGAGCTAATAAAGAAGCTTCAGTTGGGGCTCAAACATCATATTATTGTAACCAGCTGAGGAATAATCAATTGTACACATTTTGCATGCTCGACTGATTCCATCCAGCACTCAATCAAGCCAGAGAGAAATTGTCGACGCCAATTAAGGTATTACATCTTAAGAAAAAAAAAACTCTAACACTACGGGACACTCTGATTCAGCATTCAAACTGATTTGATGAATCTGGTTCACGAATCACGAATCTCGCTGTGCTGTTGGCCATGTAGCAGCCCTACATCTTCTTTGATCACCTCGGTGCCATATTGATCAAACTGGTCTGTCCACGACTCCCCTTCTTCCTCCTCCACCTCCCCCTCACTTCCAGTGCCTTCCACGCCATCCACACCCTCCACGGCGTGCATGCCCAGGTCACTGCCAGCCTCGCTCTGCATGGCGGCCACCATCTGCGGTGTCACCTGCATCACACGAGGCCCCTCCCAGGGGGCGGGCTGCCCGTCCTCCCACCCGCGGTACAGCACCACCTTGGACGGCTCCTGCGACACAAACACCCCCCCAGTCGCCTCCTGCGCACGCCACACAGCACACGCCACCCCAGTCAGTGCCACAGACGCTCGAATCAAACACAAACAAGCAACAGCACACACCCGCGAGGCAGCAAGGGCGCAGCCAGCCATGCCCCCAGCGCCGTGACTCACCTCGAGCTGCTTGACGATCTCTTGTGCTGGCGTGCCCGCCGCCCGGCCTCGGATGCCCACCTTCACGAGCGCATGGCGTGTGAAGTGCAGGCGGATGGCCCTCGCCAGCCCCTCCACCACGTTGCTGCGCCCTGTGGCCATGCCAGCCAGGGGCACCATGCACAGAGACACACCATGCACGTGCAGGCATGCGAACGTCAAGGGCACCACGCACATGCAGGCACAGTTGCATGTGGATGGGATGCGACATATAACACAAAAAGGGGATGAGAGTGAGAGAGTGGATGGGATGCGACATATAACACAAAAGGGGGATGAGAGTGAGAGAGTGGAGGAAGAGAGGAAGACAGCAGGTGGATGATTGCAAGTGAGAGCGAGGGATGGGGACCCAAGGGGTGGGAGTGCAAGAGAGGGGCGGCAGGGGTGGTGGGTGCACTGACCAACTTGGAAGGCGGCAGTGGAGTCGAGGGTGAGGGCCCTGCGCCTGAGGTCGAGGCGCTGGGAGCGCGAGAGGGGAGGGGCCCTGAAGAGAGGGCCCACTAGCGCCCGCTCCCTCACCTCCTCCCTGCCCACACGCCGCGTCTCCCGTACTGCCTCCCTCTCCCGCTGCTGCCGCTGCCTCTCCTCCTCCTGCTCCTGCTGCTGCAGCTGCGGCTGCATGCTGGCAGCAATGAGTGCGTCAATCTCTGCTGCCTCCGCCTCTGCAGCAGGCGACAGTGGGGAAGGCCCGCCCACACCTGCCTCGCTGCCCTCCTCCCATGTGTCCCTCCCTGTGCTGCTGCTGCCGCTGGCGCTGCTGCCAGTGCTGGTGGCGGAGTCGAGAGAGAGAGGCGAAGAAGGGAGGGAGGCGCGGGAAAGAGGCGCTATCTCGCCAGGCTTCACCTGCACCCCTTTCTCTGCCTCTGCCTGCCCTCACAGAACCACCCATATACACAGGCACACACACAGCGTGGTGCGAACAGATGGAAAGGAGGCGAAGAGGAGCAGACGAGCAGAGTAGCGGAGGCGAGCAGAAGGGCGGAAGAGTGGAGGGGAGCAGGAGGGAGGGAGAGTGAAGGGAGAAGAAGGGCGGGAGAGTGGAGGGGAGAAAATGCCGGGGGGGCACTGACCAGGCCTTGTGAGAGGCGGGAGATGGCGGTGTCGAGGTCCCTCATGTGTGCCTCCAGTGACTGCAGGGTGGGGCGGGGAGGGGGCACGGCGTGCAGTGCACAGCATGGATTGGCAGGGGATGATGTAGCTGTTACATGCAGAGCATGAGACACTTAGGGGCGTAAGTCACAAGCGAACAGACCGACTGAAAGCATGAGGGTTTGTGAGGCAGACACAACACAATCTTGTCAACCACAGCCCACCCCCCCCCACCGGCCCCCCACCGCCCCCACCGGCCCCCCACCACCCCCACCGCCCCCCCACCGCCCCCATCACCCCCCCATCGTCCCCACCTCCCCCATCAACCCACCACCCCCACCGCCCCCACCACGCCCTCCACCCTTTCCTCCCCCCCTCTCCCCCCCTCCGGCAGCTCACGGCGCGGCGCTGCTCCTCGGTGGCGCGTTTGAGCGCCTGGCGCTTGGTGAGCAGCCCCTTGGGGCGCAGCACGGAGGGGCGAGAGTAGTTCTTGCCGCGGTACACAATGATGGCGTGGTACTTCTTCACCGCCACCACGTCCACCAGCACGCCCCCACTCTCCACTGCCAGCATGCCCGCCACGTCCTCTGCGCGGCGGCGGTCGCGCTCCTTGCAGATGATCTTGACCAGCTCGCGGTGCTTCCAGTGCAGATGCATGTTCTCCACCAGCCCCGCAAACACGCCCCTCTTGCCTGCGCAACCCAGGGACGAGCGAGAGAGATGGGGGTGAGAAGGTGCAAGAATATGTTGGGTGGAAACGAGGGAAGAGACTAGGAGAAGCGCGCGTTGCAACTTGCAATTGTCAGCAATGGGTGTCATATGGCGGGGAGGAGAGGCAGGTGGGTTGGCGGCATGGCGTGGCACGGACCCATTTCAAGGTAGGCGCGCATCTTCTGGCCGAGCTTGCGGAACATGTGTCTCTCCTCCTCTGTGAGCGTCTCACTGTCCGCCGGCACCTCCACCGGCCGCAGCACCGCCTGCAGCTTCTCCAACTGCTCCTCCGCCCGCCCCTTCTTGCGCAGCGCCTGCTCACAGTTCCCAAAGAGGGCGGGGCACACGGGTGGTGGAGGGGGGAGGGCAGTTAGCATTTACTGCAGCAGAGGCACGGAGTAGCTGGGGCAATGGCAGGCAATAAGCTGCAGCTCTGGGGTTGATAGGAACAAAATAAGACACCAACAGCAATGAGTAATCGCAGCTGGGTAATCGCAGGCAGTAAACCGCAAGTTAGGGGTTGGTATGAAGGAAAGAAGACACTCTCAGCTTAAGATCTATCTGCCATCCCACCTGAGCCAGCTTCTGCTCTATCTGCCGTGCCAGTGCCAGCCGCCTGGAAGCCTCTATGGACTCTCGCCGCCGCCGCCGCTCCTCCTCCACCAACTGCCCCTCCACCTCCTCCTCCGCACTCTCTGCCCCCTGCGTGCCCTCCGTGTCTCCCTCTCCCTCAGTGCGCCTTGCGCTGCCAGCAGAGGCTGCAGAGTTATGGGCGCGCAGGGAAGGAGAATGACAAAGAAGCACACACAGGAGGGAGTGGGGGGATGGAGAATGCAGGCGGGCGTGGTGCCTATGATGCGCAGATGTCGTGAAAACGTGAACAGCCAGCAACAATCCCGACACTGGTCGCCACTGACCGCTGGCCATACCTCCCCATGCGCCCCCCTCGCCGTGTGCAGAGCCGGAGGGCGAGGGCAGAAGCAGCGAGGGCAGGGCGAGCAGGCGCTCCCTCTCCTCCTCGTCCGCACTCTGCCGCGCGTGGTGCTGCCGTGCTGCGAGGGTGGAGGCGAGGGCGGCGGGCAGGAAGTCCTTGCCGCGGTACAGCGAGATGAAGAACTTGTCGCGCGCCAATAGCACCCCCCCCGTCAGCCTCTGGGGGAGGGCGGGTGTGGGGGGAGGAGAGGGGGAAAGGCGGGGTTGAGACGAAGGCGGGGTTGAGACGAAGGTGTGGGGAGAGGAGACTGCCATGCCCCCAGCTCACCTTGAGCTCCTCCGCCATGCAGCTCACCTTCAGCTCCTCCGCCATGCAGCTCACCTTGAGCTCCTCCGCCATGCGCTCGTTGCTGGTGTTCTGCACGCCGCGCTTGACGCCAATCTTGGCCACCTCGCTGCACTCCCACAGCGCCACCACCGCCGCCGCCAGCCCCTCCAGCCCGTTGTTGCGCCCTGCATGTCCCCCCCCCACACCACACCCCACCCCACCCACCATACAAGAACGACAGCGCAGAGGGACGAGTGAGGATTTCGGGTTTAGGGTTAAACTGAGAGAGAAAGGGGAAATAGAGACTGAGATTCAATGGGGCGCGCATCACCTAGCATGAAGTGGGGAGGCAGCTTCCTGGCGAGGTGGCGCAGGCGGGTCATGTCATCGTTGCTCAGCTTGCTGCTCACGCCGTATGGCACCAGTCGGAACGGCGCCCGGTACCCCACCGCGGCTGCTCCCCCCAGCAGCAGGTCGGCGTCCACGGGGGCATGGCCGGCCCGCTCCCACCCCGCCACCTTGGGACCCAGCCCCAACGTCACGTCCTCCTCGCCTGCTGCTGCTGCTGCTGACACCCCGCCCTCCCCACCTTGCCCTCCCCACTCCTGCTGCCCCTCACCACCGCTTGCCCCACTCACAAGCGCTGCCTCTTGCTGCTCGCCCTGCCGCCCCTCTCCCTCGCCCTCCACTTCCCCATCACTCATCTCTCCCTCTCCCCACACCCTCGCACCATCACTCCCCATCTCCTCCAACCCCGCTTCTGCTGCATCCCCCACTTCCCCCACCTGCCCCTCCCCCCGTTGCCCCTGCGCCCGCTGCCCCTCGCCCCCCTGCCCGTACTGCGGGCCACGGTACACTGCCAGCGCTGCCCCCGCCCGCCACACCACCATGCCGCCCGTCAGACGCTGGGGGAGGGGGGAAGGGGGGTCCGGGGGGGTGGGAGAGTGGGCAGAGCGCAGGGAAGAGTTGGGGAAAAAAGGAGGCAGCTTGGGATGGGGGCAGTGGAGCGTAGTGATGGTGGGGCAGGGGCAGGGGCAGGGGCAGGGGGATGGGGAGGGGGAGGGGCGTCACCTCGATCTGCTCGTGTGTGTGGCGCATGTTGAAGGCGGGCGCCCCCTCGCACCTGACCTTCACCACCTCGTGCCCGGCGCGCCACCGCGCCTGCACCGCCGCCACTATGCCATCTGTCACGCCCTGCCGCCCCACCTTCACCGGCTGCCGCAGCACCATCACTGCCGCCCGCAGCCGCCTCAGCTCACTGGGCGGCAGACTCACCTCCGCCACCCACGCCTGCCGCACCCGCCTTTCCCGCACACCTACCGCCTCCCCTTGCACCCCGCCGCCTGCCCCTCCGCCCCTCCCCCTTCCCAGCCACGGGAACTCCTCCCCCTGCTGCTCCCCCCCTGCCACGCCCCGCCACCCATCCTCTGCGCCCACGCGCGCCCGTGCTGCCCGGCCTGAGTCATCATCCCGCCCCTCGCCCCTCCTCCCCTCTCCGCCATGCCCCCATCCCTCGCCCCTTTCAGCGCCCTCCTCCCACGGAAAGCGCGCGCCCCCACCTTGCATTGCTGGCGAATCATAGAGCTCCACGTCATCAGCTGATCTGAAGGCGTCACCATTCCCCCGAGGCAGGTGCGCGCCTCTAGCCCACGCAGGCGCGCCACTTGCGCCTCCCCTCGCTTCCTGCGCGCTCCCCCTCCATCGCCCCCCGCCCCCCTCCCTCCACCTATCCGCCCCTGACCTCTCGTCTTCCCCCCTGAGACCAGAATCGCTTCCTCTCCTCCCGTTGCCCATCCCCCGATCAACCCTCCCGCCTCTCGAATCCCCCCACGTGTCCACCCGCCCACCACCTCGCCCGCCTGACCTCGCCCGCTCTCCTTCCGCGCCAATCCCACCGCCCGCCACGCCATGGACCCCGCTCCTTGCATCTTTTGCCCCTTCTCCACCCGCCGCCCAGCGCTCCCTGCTCTCCCCGCGGGGCCCTCGCCATCCTCCGCGCACGTGCGCTCCCCCCGCCCCACTCCCGCCCCGCTCCCTGAACCCCACGCTGCTGCCCGCTCCCTGCCTCCCGCCTGCCCGCCCCCCTTCCCCCGCCTGTCGTGACTGCTCGCCCTGCGACCCGGCCGCCGCAGCCGCCGAAGTGGAGAGCCGCACAGGACTCGGCGCGCCGTGGGAGGCCTTAGGCGAGTGGCGCAGCGCTAGTCCCAGCCCCGCGTGCGCGCGTGCCGCCGTTAAACCCCGCCCCGCGAAGAGCGAGCGTCGGAAACCCAAGGCTTGCATGGCGGGTCGTCTTTCTAGGGTTCGCGAAAGCACATGAAGGGACGTCAATGGGCCGGCGTTGTGAGCGAAACGGTTACCAGTCGCTCCTCGCACAGTGGCGTGCGACGATAGCAGCGCTGCAGCACGACGCGAGACGAGCGGCGACGAAGATACTGCGAGAACCGCCGGAATGGCGGCGGCGTTGAGCATAGCGGCGAGCGGGGGAGCCTCGGCTTGTGGATTACCGACAGGAGTTGTGAGGAAAGCGGACGCGATGCGAAGGCGCGGTACTGTAACGCACGTGGCGAAACTTGACCCTCGCTCGAAACAGGTCCGCCGCTAGCGCATTCTGCGGGGTGTGTATGGCTGAAAGAAGCTGCTGCAGTGGCGGAATATCGGGGTAGTGGGTGGCTGCTGGGATGAAGCAACAACTGCTCTTCGGGGTGGTCTGTCACAATTTAGAAGCCACACTCAATACACTCCAGAACAAAACATCTTAACCTTGTTAGACTACCACAGAAATGAAAACACAATTTCCTTCCAGTCTAGAAGGATAAAAGTCCCTCCGTTGATTTCCTGAACATTCTGACTGTCGCATGATTTTACTAATTATTCCTGTCAGTAGATCTGCACTGTGGATCCCCGACTGATCCTAGGGGGAATTACATGCGCATTCGCCAGCACCAATGACCAATCATGCTCGTCACCCTCCCACGCTCTTGCTGGCTTGGTAACAGGTCCAAACGCACACAGAAGCGTGATCGAACGGAAGAAATACGCTCGGAACGAGCGTTTTCATCCCCAAAACGCGGAAGAATCCGCACATGTGAAAAAAATGCAGCAGGCATGGTTCATTCGCGAAAACCGATGACCGATCATGCTCGACACCCTCCCACGCCCTTGCTGGCTTGGTAAAAGGGCCAGACGAGCGCAGCCCTGTGACCCGGCAGAAGAAAAACGCTCGGAACGAGCGCTTCCAGCCCCAAAACGCGGAAGGATCCGCACATGTGCAGGAATTGCAGCGAGTGCTCTTCATTCGCGGCCACCGATGACCGATGATGCTCGCAACCCTCCCACGCCCTTGCTGGCTTGGTAACAGGCCCAGATGAGCGCAACCACGTGACCCGGCGGAAGAAAAACGCTCGGAACGAGCGCTTCCACCCCCAAAACGCGGAAGGATCCGCACATGTGCAGGAAATGCAGCGGGCGCTCTTCATTCGCGAGCACCGATGACCGATGATGCTCGCAACCCTCCCACACCTTTACAGGCTTGGTAATAGGCCCAGACAAGCGCAGCCACGTGACCCGGCGGAAGAAAAACGCTCGGAACGAGCGCTTCCACCCCCAAAACGCGGAAGGATCCGCACATGTGCAGGAAGTGCAGCGGGCGCTCTTCATTCGCGAGCGCCGATAACCGATGATTCTCGCAACCCTCCCACGCCCTTGCTGGCTTGGTAATAGGCCCAGACAAGCGCAGCCACGTGACCCGGCAGAAGAAAAACGCTCAGAACGAGCGCTTCCAGCCCCAAAACGCGGAAGGATCCGCACATGTGCAGGAAGTGCAGCGGGCGCTCTTCATTCGCGAGCGCCGATGACCGATGATGCTCGCGACCCTCCCACGCCCTTGCTGGCTTAGTAATAGGCCCATACAAGCGCAGCCACGTGACCCGGCGGAAGAAAAACGCTCAGAACGAGCGCTTCCAGCCACAAAACGCGGAAGGATCTGCATATGTGTAGGAAGTGCAGCGGGCGCTCTTCATTCGCGAGCGCCGATGACCGATGATGCTCACAACCCTCCCACGCCCTTGCTGGCTTGGAAATAGGCCCAGACAAGCGCAGCTTCGTAATCCGGCGGAAAAAAACTCTCGGAACGAGCGCTTCCAGCCCCCAAATGCGGAAGGATCCGCACATGTGCAGGAAGTGCAGCGGGCGCTCTTCATTCGCGAGCGCCGATGACCGATGATGCTCGCAACCCTCCCACGCCCTTGCTGGCTTGGTAATAGGCCCAGACAAGCGCAGCCACGTGACCCGGCGGAAGAAAAACGCTCGGAACGAGCGCTTCAACCCCAAAACGGGGAAGGATCCGCACATGTGCAGGAAGTGCAGCGGGCGCCCTTCATTCGCGAGCGCCGATGGCCGATGGTGCTCGCAACCCTCCCACGCCCTTGCTGGCTTGGTAATAGGCCCAGAAAAGCACAGCCACGTGACCCGGCGGAAGAAAAACGCTCGGAACGAGCGCTTCAACCCCCAAAACGGGGAAGGATCCGCACACGTGCAGGAAGTGCAGCGGGCGCCCTTCATTCGCGAGCGCCGATGGCCGATGGTGCTCGCAACCCTCCCAAGCCCTTGCTGGCTTGGTAATAGGCCCAGACAAGCTTCCAGGTGACCCGGCGGAAGAAAAACGCTCGGAAAGAGCGATTCGAGCCCCAAAACGCGAAAGGATCCGCACACGTGCACGAATACAGCGGGCGCTCTTCATTCGTGAGCGCCGATGACCGATGATGCTCGCAACCCTCCCACGCCCTTGCTGGCTTGGTAATAGGCCCAGACAAGCACGGCCACGTGACCCGGCGGAAGAAAAACGCTCGGACCGAGCGCTTCAACCCCCAAAACGGGGAAGGATCCGCACACGTGCAGGATGTGCAGCGGGCGCTCCTCATTCGCGAGCGCCGATGGCCGATGGTGCTCGCAACCCTCCCAAGCCCTTGCTGGCTTGGTAATAGGCCCAGACAAGCGCAGCCACGTGACCCGGCGGAAGAAAAACGCTCGGAACGAGCGCTTCCAGCCCCAAAACGCGGAAGGATCCGCACACGTGCACGAAGTGCAGCGGGCGCTCTTAATTTGCGAGCGCCGATAACCGATGATGCTCGCAACCCTCCCACGCCCTTGCTGGCTTGGTAATAGGCCCAGACAAGCGCAGCCACGTGACCCGGCGGAAGAAAAACGCTCGGAACGAGCTCTTCCAGCCCCAAAACGGGGAAGGATCCGCACACGTGCACGAAGTGCAGCGGGCGCTCTTCATTCGCGAGCGCCAATGGCCGATGGTGCTCGCAACCCTCCCAAGCCCTTGCTGGCTTGGTAATAGGCCCAGACAAGCGCAGCCACGTGACCCAGCGGAAGAAAAACGCTCGGAACGAGCGCTTCAAGCCCCAAAACGCGGAAGGATCCGCACACGTGCACGAAGTGCAGCGGGCGCTCTTAATTCGCGAGCGCCGATGACCGATGATGCTCGCAACCCTCCCACGCCCTTGCTGGCTTGGTAATAGGCCCAGACAAGCGCAGCCACGTGACCCGGCGGAAGAAAAACGCTCGGAACGAGCTCTTCCAGCCCCAAAACGGGGAAGGATCCGCACACGTGCAGGAAGTGCAGCGGGCGCTCTTCATTCGCGAGCGCCGATGGCCGATGGTGCTCGCAACCCTCCCACGCCCTTGCTGGCTTGGTAATAGGCCCAGACAAGCGCAGCCACGTGACCCGGCGGAAGAAAAACGCTCGGAAAGAGCGCTTCCAGCCCCAAAACGCTGAAGGATCCGCACAGGTGCAGGAAGTGCAGCGGGCGCTCTTAATTCGCGAGCGCCGATGACCGATGGTGCTCGCAACCCTCCCACGCCCTTGCTGGCTTGGTAATAGGCCCAGACAAGCGCAGCCACGTGACCCGGCGGAAGAAAAACGCTCGGAACGAGCGCTTCAACCCCCAAAACGGGAGAGGATCCGCACACGTGCAGGAAGTGCAGCGGGCGCTCTTCATTCGCGAGCGCAGATGACCGATGGTGCTCGCAACCCTCCCACGCCCTTGCTGGCTTGGTAATAGGCCCAGACAAGCGCAGCCACGTGACCCGGCGGAAGAAAAACGCTCGGAACGAGCGCTTCAACCCCCAAAACGGGAGAGGATCCGCACACGTGCAGGAAGTGCAGCGGGCGCTCTTCATTCGCGAGCGCAGATGACCGATGGTGCTCGCAACCCTCCCACGCCCTTGCTGGCTTGGTAATAGGCCCAGACAAGCGCAGCCACGTGACCCGGCGGAAGAAAAACGCTCGGAACGAGCGCTTCCAGCCCCAAAACGCGGAAGGATCCGCACACGTGCAGGAAGTGCAGCGGGCGCTCTTCATTCGCGAGCGCAGATGACCGATGGTGCTCGCAACCCTCCCACGCCCTTGCTGGCTTGGTAATAGGCCCAGACAAGCGCAGCCACGTGATCCGGCGGAAGAAAAACGCTCGAAACGAGCGCTTCCAGCCCCAAAACGCGGAAGGATCCGCACACGTGCAGGAAGTGCAGCGGGCGCTCTTCATTCGCGAGCGCCGATGACCGATGATGCTCGCAACCCTCCCACGCCCTTGCTGGCTTGGTAATAGGCCCAGACAAGCGCAGCCACGTGACCCGGCGGAAGAAAAACGCTCGGAACGAGCGCTTCAACCCCCAAAACGGGGAAGGATCCGCACAGGTGCAGGAAGTGCAGCGGGCGCTCTTCATTCGCGAGCGCAGATGACCGATGGTGCTCGCAACCCTCCCACGCCCTTGCTGGCTTGGTAATAGGCCCAGACAAGCGCAGCCACGTGACCCGGCGGAAGAAAAACGCTCGGAACGAGCGCTTCAACCCCCAAAACGGGGAAGGATCCGCACATGTGCAGGAAGTGCAGCGGGCGCCCTTCATTCGCGAGCGCCGATGGCCGATGGTGCTCGCAACCCTCCCAAGCCCTTGCTGGCTTGGTAATAGGCCCAGACAAGCGCGGCCACGTGACCCGGCGGAAGAAAAACGCTCAGAACGAGCGCTTCCAGCCCCAAAACGCGGAAGGATCCGCACATGTGCAGGAAGTGCAGCGGGCGCTCTTCATTCGCGAGCGCCGATGACCGATGATGCTCGCAACCCTCCCACGCCCTTGCTGGCTTGGTAATAGGCCCAGACAAGCGCAGCCACGTGACCCGGCGGAAGATAAACGCTCGGAACGAGCGCTTCCAGCCCCAAAACGTGGAAGGATCCGCACAGGTGCAGGAAGTGCAGCGGGCGCTCTTCATTCGCGAGC